TATATATATATATATACGTGAAGGCCCAAGGATGGTGTCAGGACTCTTGCTCATTCACTCTACACCATATTTACTGAGGCAGGATCTCTTAGTTGAATCCAGAGCTCATTGATTCTAGTCTGGCTAGCCAGCTTACTCTAGGTATCCCTTGTGTCTGCTGCCACACCCACTCAGTATTTGCATGGGCTCTAGAGACCTGAACTCCAGTCCACCTGCTTGCATAGCAAGCACTTTATTGAGTCATCTCCACAACCCCTGTTTTGGCTTCTTTGAGACAGTCTCATGCTTAGCCTAGGCTACCCTTAAACCTATCTCAGTCTCCTGAGTGCTGGTATTACAGACACCACCTAAAAGCTCACTCCTAGAGAAGTCCCAAATGCGACAGACTCCAGGTCAGCCCCACCTAGAGACAGCAACATGGAAGGCAGGATTCCTTCCTGCCTGACAACAGCTGTCACCAGTTCATACCAATCTGCTTTCTTCTTTCTGTTTGTAACTCTTGCTTTGATCTTCCTTGATCTCCTTCTTCCCATCTAAATATTCTCCAAGTGCTTCCCTGAAACAGAAAAAAAAAAAAGCAGACACTGAAGTTACTTCTAGTACTTATATTCTACATTAAAAGTTCCAGAGTACTTTCTACCATATACCAAACACATCCTATTTGGATTTTTGTTTTGTTATGTTTTTTTGAGGCAGGGTCTTACTATATAGCCCTGGATGGACTGAGACTTGCCACGTAGATCAAGATGACCTTGAATTCACAGAGATCTGCCTGCTTCTACCTTCCAAGCATTGGGATAACAGGTATGTACCACCACCAAGTTCCGTTTGGATTTTTTGTAATGTTTTGTATTTTGAGAGGGTTTTACTCTACCCTAAAGTCATGGAAATCCTCCTATCTCAGCCTCCCAAATGCTGGGATTACAAACATGAATCATCATGCCAGACTTGGAAAAAATTTTAAATAGTAAGACAAGAGTTGGGAATGTAGCTCAGTAGCAGAATGCTTGCCTAACATAGTCAAAGCCCTGGATTCGATCCCCAGCATCACCACAAAAAAACAGCATACATACAGTAATTTACAAAACACTAGAAGTGCCAGGCGTGATGGTGCAAGCCTGTCATTCCAGCACTTGGGCGACAGAGGCAGGTGGATCTCTGTGAGTTCAAGGCCAGCTTAGTCTACATAGTGAATTCCAGGCCAATTGGGGCTACAGGGAGACCCTGTCTCAAAAAAACCAAACAAACAAACAAAAAACTACTAGAAGGAAATATTTACTTTATTTATGTGTATGTGCGTATGCCATGTGTTACACACAGATGCCAGCAGAGGCCAGAAGAGAGTGTCAGAGCCCCTTCAGCTGGAGCAGTTGTGAGTCACCATGTGAGTGCTAGAAGAACCTGAACTCAGGTGCTCTGGAAAAAAGGCAAGCACTCCTAACCACTGAGCCATCTCTCCAGTCCCCATTAGAAGTAAATATAAGAGACTGTATAATCTTAGCATAGAAAGTCCCTCTTTGAATAAAGCCAGTCAGAGGGAAAGAAAATAAAAAAAACTGATATCAAATTACCTCTGATGGTTAATGTTGTCAACTTGACAGAATCTAGAATCACCTGGGAGATGGGATTGTATAATTGAAGTTGAAAGACTCACTCACTGTGGGTGGAACCATTCCTTGGCTGGGATCCTGGATGGTATAAATCAAGAAAGGGAGCTGAAAAACAGCACACATCCAAGCCCTCTCTTCTTCCTGATTATGAATGCAATGTAACTAGCTGCTTCAAGATCATACTGCCTTGATTTCCCCACAATCATCAACTATACCTTGAACTATGATCTAAAATAACTCCTTCTCCCTTACGTAGCTTTTGCCACAGCAACAGGAAAAGTATCTAAGACAGCTCCTGGTGGGTAGCCTAAAGAAGGGTAAAGACCGGTATCTCACTCAGTCTTCATTTTGCATCTGTCCACATGATAATCAGCAGGCGTTAATGAATACAGATGCAAAAATTCTCAACAAAATACTTCCAAAACGCATACAGACACACATCAAAAAGATTATTCACCAGGATCAAGTAGGCTTTATCCCAGAGATGCGGGGCTCCTTCAATATCCTTAAGTCAATAAATGTCATTAATCATATAAATGGACTAAAAGACAAAAATCATCATCATCTCAATAGATGCAGAAAAGGCTTTTGACAAAATTCAGCATGCATTTATGTTCAAAGTCCTAGAGGGAATTGGACTAGAGGGAACATACCTCAACATAATTAAAGCTATATACAACAAACCCACAGCCAATATCATTCTAAATGGAGAAAAACTGGAAGCATTCCCATTAAAAGCAGGAACCAGGGACTGGAGAGATGGCTCAGCAGTTAAGAGCACTGACTGCTCTTGCAGAGTACCCGGGTTCGAGTCCCAGCACCCACATGGCAGCTACATGCAGAGGACCCGGGTTCAATTCCCAGCACCCACATGGCAGCTATGAACCGTCCTTAAATCCAGTTCCAGGGGAATCCGAAGCCCTCTGCTGACCTCTGTGGCATTGCATGACATGGGTGCACTCACATGCATTCAGGCAATACGTATACTCATACACATAAAATAAAAGTAATAACATTTTTTAAAAAAAGGCAGGAACCAGACAAGGATGTCCATTATCTCCACTCCTTTTCAACATAGTGCTTGAAATTCTTGCTAGAGCAATAAGACAGGAGAAGGAAATTAAAGGAGTACTAATTGGAACAGAAGAGGTCAAACTATCAGTGCAGATGATATGATCCTATACCTAAGAGATCCCAAAAGTTCCCCCCCCCAAAAGTTCTATAACTGATCAACAATTTCTGTATAGTGGCAGGTTATAAAATCAATCTACAAAAATCAGTGGCCTTTCTATATACCAATAACAAGCAATTGGAGAAAGAATACAGGGAAATGCTCCCATTC